TCCAGAGACTCAGGGCGGCTTACAATGCGTTAAGCAATAGGTTAAGCAGTAGCCTTCATTCTTTTGTATATTTTGTACAAAGTCAGCTTTTTGCCCCCACAAACTGGGTCCTCATTTCACCTACCTTAGAAAGGATGGAAGGCTGAGTCAACCTTGAGCCTTGGAGAGATTCGAACCAGCAGAAATTGCAGGCAGCTGTGATAATAACAGGGTGCACTAAACCACTGAACTATCAAGGCTCCTTCAGTGAAATATAAGAACTGGTATCTGAATTGCTTTCCTTTCTTTTTTCTGCCTTTTCTCACAAATTCTGCTCAAAATCCTTCTGCTGATTGCAGCACTAGCTTTTCCCTAAATTAAAATTGGGCGGCTCTGCTATTATACCCACTCTCATGTAAATGAGTTGGTTGTTTTTTTGTTTGTTGTTGTTGTTGTTGTGGTGGTGGTGGTGTTTTTCCTGTAAATGCAGGATCTGCTTTGTCAGATAAACCGAGTCTTGATCCATTAGTTGCAACAGGACTTGAGCGATCAGCTTGTTGGCCAAGCATGACATTGTGGCCTAAGGGAGAGTGACTGTCTCAGAGTCACCTAGCTGGGTTTCACGCAAAAGGTGGGCAGCACTAGAACTCACAGTCTCCTGGTTTCTAGCCTGGTGCCTTTATTACTAGATCAAATTGGATCTCATGTAAAGTATAAAATAGACAGACCTTTTGAAGACAATAATAAAATACTGAAAAGTATTTGCTTATTTTAGCATCTGTTACTTTTAGTCCAATGCTGTCAGGCAATTTTTTTGATTTTGCAATAAATGGCAACCAGGAAAAACATGCTATTTTCATGTAGAATATTTTACTGACCGGCCTCTCAAAGGATGTGAGAGAAGAGACTGGCAGTGCAATCTTATGCAGCCCCAATAATTTCTGCTCAGCTCTTTGGCCATTTTTGTTGGTTTGCATGTTTATCACAGGTTCAGAGCATAACCCCTGATTCATTAGTGAGTTAACCTCTTAGAGTTGGTTGAGCTATAATAATCAGTACTGTACAGAAATCTACTAGAGAGAACTCAGAATGAAGGCAGGGAAAATCCTGACCACTGAAATAATAACAGGGATGCTGGAACCATGTGAAAAATAGCATCCCGGTTAATCCAGCACAGTTTAATCAATCAACGTGGATTATTATCAGTCGCTAATTTAAAACATTCTGTCACTGCAGAATGCAATATGAATGATTTCTCTCTCTTTTTCCTGTTGCTTTCTTTTTTCATATTGGCTTCCTCCCACCCCCCCACCTCTCCGTTTTTACTGTTTTCTTTGCACACATATAAAAACACACCAAGACACATATTCGTGATTCTGAAAAGAAAATAGAACACTATCTTGCGTGATATGGCATTAGATTTCTTCTTGTTTTTTCTTTCCTCAGCCATGGGGGTTCTTTTTTCAAAACAAAATGGAATTTCCCCTTCAGTGCAGCAGAAAGCCCATCGGTTATTCTGTCAGCATGTGGAGCCAGGGAAATCCTTCATGAAAGAAACTCACATGTGAGCAATCCCTGCAAGCATTCTTCAGATAATTCACCCGCCTACGCAGAAAGGCTCTGCAGAGCTTGTCTTTCTCTTTCTTGCTTGCTTGGCAGAGCACAGAGCCAGTGATTAAAATCCAGCAGCAGGCTTCTTTTAAGCAGGCACATTATTATTGTTACTGTTGTTATTTCTATATGCACTTACTGCAGCCATTCAAGGTCATAGTGTATAATTGCAATTATCATTATTAAAAGTGCAGAGTTTAGCCCTTTCAATTAAATTGGCAACCCTGAACATGTGTTGCGCTTTCTCCAAAACTCACAGATACGTTAAACAGTTCAAATATAATTCAAGCTTTCCTTTCCCTCCCATCTCTCTGTAGAATAGCATCTTTCTGGCAGGATAGATCAACTCCCCTTTCAAACGCCAACCAGGCACCTGCAGGTTGACAAAAGCTGCCAGCACATTTGTGTGACTTCATAAGGAAGAAGTAGGGAGGGAGACCCATGAATTCTCATTCCGAGAAGTTAAAATTAAACAAGGCTGCTTGATTATAAGCAGCACTGAGAGCCCTGGGACCATAATTTCTAGAAAATATTTGAACTCCAAGGCTATAAATCTGCCTATCTGAGACCGTTTTCTAAGGTATCCTTCATTCAAGCTCACTCTTTTCTTCACATTAATGCTGTGTCCTGCATTTCCCTGCCCTCAGAAATCAGTGTCCTTGGTTTCCATGGAACTGATCCAAAGTCATAGCTTTTAAATATTATGCTAAGCAACAGTTTGTTTTACCCATAGTTTGTTAAACAAACATACTGTATCTGGGCTACAGCAACCAGAATTAGATGATTTTATTTCTCTTTTCTGCCTTCTACTGGTTGCTGAATTTTTGGAGCCCTGCACATTAACCTAAACTGCAATGGCCGTGGCACATATCACCCTAAGTCATATACCGTGGTTTACATGACAGTATTCATATAACGCAAAAAGTCAGATGTAAGCAAATCCCATAATGGTTTAAATCAAGAGTTCTCACATTGTGGGACAGGTTTCCTATGACAAGAGTATAATCAAGTTTTTTTAAAAGCCTGGTCTCCTCATTTTGTCTCCGCAAGCCCACAGTGGGCAGTTAAGGTACCACAAGGTTTGAAAATCCATGATATATGTATTAAAATGTAATGTAATAAACTAAATGACATATTTATTTTTGCCCAGTCCTAATCGCAGTGAAATCATTTATTTTCTCCATGAAACAGCCAAATAAATAGATTATCACTTTCACCGGCCTTTGTATTACAAAACTTGAAAGCTTATTGCCTGTATATAAACTAGTAAATATTCTAATACTGTAAATCCAAGGCTGATATTGGATGTGCGTGAGTAGTTGAGAAAAAGAAATGTTACAGGTTTTTCAAACATAGTGTTTAGTAAGTGATTTGGCCTGACACTTTAAAATACAAGATTCAGATATTTATCTCAAGAGCCAGAATAATACACATCAAAAGCCAAGAAACTCTCCCTTACTTCTTTTTTATACAGTACTGCTTTCACATATTCATGTGCAGAAGAAGCCATGTAATTGTCACCCCTGACTTCTGAAGAGCAACTACTGTAGTGAGATACAACTACAAGTAGTTCTCAACTTACAACCACAATTGAGATCAGGAATTCTGTTGTTAAGCAAGAAGGTGAATAGGGCTACAAACTGGACTGAAAAAACCAGCAGATGACAGCAGAACCATCCTTTGCTGGCATCTAACATCATCAAGATGTTTGCATCCCAAATCTGATAGCCCTAAAATAGTGGAGTTCTTGGTGCTCATTTGCAAATGGTTTATTAGTAGGTAACATTAGTCACTGATGTTGCTACCTAGTTGAGTAACGAAACATTTGCAGAGCAAACAGCCAAGCTCAGAGAGTATCCAGAGCACCAAAGTTCAACCCTGAGCTACAGATATTGTCTTCTATTGGAGTCTTACAATTATGGATACAGTTTTAGCAAAATGCCATTTCCTCATTCTCAGCAGTTTTGGGCAAGTATGAGAAGAATAGAAGGAAATTTTCTCTTGACCTAGAGTAGCTGTCAAGAAAGAGTTCTGTGGCATGCATCCTTACTTTTTCCCTAAAACTACATAGGCTGCTTTATTGCCTAGCTTTAGCTGTACATTTATCTTTAAAAGCAATAAAAATTGTAAACTTTTTAACCTGCCAGGCTTGGGAGATAAATTATTGCATGGAAAACATGGAAAGGCAGTCTGCTTATCTGTCATTTTCATGGACAATTTCTCAAATCAGAGCAAGGAGTCAAACTGGGATTTCATATTGATCAACTACACTTTTCCCCCCCAGAAATTGGTTAAGTGCTTTATCCTAGTTTCTTAAAAATAAATAAATTAGAAAACTTCATGGTAATAACATATTTCTTTTTCCTTAAAAAGTAAAAGAAATGAAATATAATTCTGGCTTATTGCAAGCACCTTAGATCTGAGGTTTCTTTGGCTAATAGGAAAAACTCTAGTGGTAACTTGGAAATTATCTGATCAAGCTATTAAACTTGGATAGTTCTTTTCCTTCCAGCCTCCTCTTTTTCTGAAGCTGGACTCCTGCATTGCTGTATGGCTTGGCTGCTATGGTTGGCTGTGGGTGCTGGCTGGCTGTGGTTGAAGTATAATCAACATAACTTTCCAAATACTTTCTGGGACTGTTCTCTTAGATCTACTCTATATTGTTTACTTGGCACTTCAAAATGGAAAAAACTAAGCATTTTTCACTCCTTTCTTATCTGATTTGGTCCACTCAAGAGATATAGCCTCTCTCTCTTGGTTTCCCACTGCTCTGTCTCCTCCAAGGAACTTGACTCACTTGGATTTCAACTCTCTAACTTTGAATCCAAGCAATCTCTTCTGAAGCAGTTGTGGTTTTGTTAAAGGGATTGCCTCCTTTTTCTCCTAAGTGGAACCCTTTTTAAGTGGGTTGGTAGAGAAGTGGAAGGAAAAATGAGCATCTGTTTCCATTCTCTCACCATTCTGAAAATGGAAGGGAAATTATTCTACTTGAAGATGATATTTCTAGCCTGCTTCCAGAGAAAAATCATCTTCTGAATCCATATGATTTGGTTAAGAAAGGAAGAAATAGACAATTACTGAGAGTTGAAAAGTGACCAAGTTAGTTATGCTTCTGCTTCTCTTTGTGCTGTGCAAAAATTTGGTTGCTTAGTAAACCTAATGGACAATACTGATCCTTTTGGTTTGATTATATTTATTTACTGTTTGATATTGAATAATTGCATTGCTGTTTAGACTCTTCTACATAGGAGTCTTAAGCTGCAGGTATCACATGCTGAAATAAGCTGGAAATGAAGTTGATTTTAAAAAGAATTACAGTCTGAATTTCAGTCCACTTTTAGATTTCACAATGTTGTATATCCTTTCTAGATTGTGGTTGCTGTGACCCCAGTGGATTCCTGTATCTTTACCTTGTTTCTGAAAGCACATGGTCATCACTTTTTCATGCAGATCTGTGAGGACATATTTCCAATGATAGATCTTTTGTAGGAAACCTTTTATGCTGACTTCATGTCATACTTGTCATCTTCTGTTTGGTATATCCACTAGTGAGGAAGGAAGGAAGGAAGGAAGGAAGGAAGGAAGGAAGGAAGGAAGGAAGGAAGGAAGGAAGGGCAAGCATCTAATTTTCATCTTTACTTCTGTCACTTGAGCTAAAAATAAAAATTGGAAATCTTGTTAATTTTTCTGGCTAAAATAAGAAAGTACATCAAAGTACACCAATTTTCATCAAAGTACATATTATAAAGAAGAATAAGAAACCCAGTGGAAAGCGTCACTAATGAACTTTAAACCTCCAACCCCACCCCTCCAAAGAAAGAACAATCTTCAACCAATCCATTCTAGTAAGGTTCCTGTCAGCCATTCAGCAGCCTAAGACAAAATGGCTCTGAAGGGCAGCCCATTGAGGAGGGCAGGGGATGTTTCTGCCATAGTGCCCAGAAGCGAAAGGAAGTGGGGACCTTTTCATTCTGCAATCCTGTTCTCAAGACATGAATAGACGCCACTCAGGAGCCTGAGTGGCGTAGGAGGCTAATGCCTCCTACTAAGGTAGCATTTAACATCCAGCTGCCTGCAATTACTGCGAGTTCAATTCTCCCCAGGCTCAAGGTCGACTCAGCCTTCCATCCTTTCTAAGGTGGGTAAAATGAGGACTCGGTTTGTGGGGGCAATAAGCTGACTTTGTATAAAATATACAAAAGTATGAAGGCTATTGCTTAACGCATTGTAAGCCGCCCTGAGTCTCCGGAGAAGAAAAAATGAATAGTGATCCATCCTCACGGCAGGGCAAATAAGGCCCTATGCCAGGCAGCAAGCATTTCTTTTTAAAAAAATAGTTTTTGGCTGAGTTGAGCTCACTGAGGAAAAGAAAAAAATGAATACAAAATCAAAGAGGAGAAAACATTAGTATTTAAAATTCTACAAAGATCAATGTTATTTTTAGCGTATAAGCTTTCATGGATTATAAATCACTTTCCCAGGGCTAAATTAGAAACCACTTTTATATATATTACACATCTACTTATGTATCTTTTTCTTAATTAGTTAAGAACAGTGGAAATTTTTATTAGAATTAAAGAGCAAAAAGGATATATCTTTTTTCTTCTTCTTAGGAAAGCACTCTGGCCTGATTGGAATAAAAAATGCCCTCAAAGCCCAGAGTAGCTATTGAGTCTATATGAAGAATTCTGAAAATATATTGTGGACACTCTCACAAAATGACTTCTCAGAGGCTTGCAAATTTATAAGCTGTTCCCAGGGGTGGGATTCTACCGGTTCAGACCGGTTCAGGCGAACTGGTAACTCTGACAATCAGCTGGAAGCGAACTGGTTCGCCCTGACGATCAGATCGGCCCACCCGCACTATTTTCCTACCTTTATCTTCTCAGCTGATTCGCGTGGCAGAGCAGATTGCCACGCCTCAGCTGTGTTTCTTCTCTGAAGAAACATGGAAGTGAAGATTTCTTCAAATGGCGCATGTGCGCGCAGCAAAGCGTGCAATTACTGAACCGGTTGTTAAACCGGGAGGATCCCACCACTGGCTGATCCTCATATTGGTCACAATTAGTTACAATGCTTCCATTTACCAGAATGCAAACTGACAAGGTTGGATAGCAACCTTGCTATCCTTGGTCCCCTCTAAATGTTCCAGAATGCTTTTTTTCCACTACTTATCTTTGGAGGGAAGGCTGGTAGGTGGGGGTTAAATGAGCATCTGTAGGGAACAAAGAATTCTTATAAATAAAAGATGAGATTTTGCCAACCCTCGATCTAAGCGATTTAGCAACCTAGGGAGCTTCACTCATCTTCCATGCTCCTGTATTTTCTCTCATAACATTACCTGAAATTAATTAATGGAAAACAGGATCAAAAGAATGTCTAGTTGAAACAGGCTGAACAACAAGTATTCATTGGTTTGCATTTTAAAAGAAAATGAGACAGTGTCATATATGGTAGTGTTTTCGAACAGGTTTGTAATGACACTTCATCACACTTAATTATGCTTGCAAAGATTTATCCCAATTTCTCCCAGGGATGGTTGCTCTTAATAATCCAAACTGCAAATTGTAAACTGGAGACCCTTTACGCTTGTTCATTTATGCAGTAATTCATCTTCCTTCCATCTTCTTTGCCATTTATTATTTATACAATTTGTAGTAAATTATCAAGTGCACTGGCTAACATATGTAAGTATAAATAACAAAAGGAATATAATACAGGAAAAAGATATTAAATTTATACCATGATCTACAGAAAAAGTATATCAGTCTCCATTAATCTAAGCAATCCTTTTTGGTGTGTTAACAGAGTTAAAGGTACACAAATTACTATAGTCATGCTGGATTTTAGTTGCAGAATTTGTACAGAAATGAGGCATTAGAAATAAAGCTTATTTCTTTACACTCAAGTTATTTTTTTCTGCTATTTTTATGGTTAAGTATCTTCAAAAATCAAAAGGGATAGCTAAGTATATGGCAGTTTTAAGGCGATACACTAAAGATATGCTTGTTTTGGTGACTGAACTCCTTAAAGAAGACTTATCTTTTTTTTTTTTTAAGTCTCATGCAGAGGACTAGAAAAGAGGCATCTGCTTTATAAAAAGCTGCTTTACTCACTGTGTCGTGCATTCTGAAGTACCTTTTACTTTTTCATGCACAGACCTAATAATTATAATATATTTCATGATGAGAAAGGCTGTTTTTTTCATTATTATTTTTATACCTTTTCACTGTGTTCCTTCCTTAATCACTCTTGGTTTTAAAAAATCTACTTGAACCTTCTATTTAATATAATGTTGTATTCTGATTTTGCTGATTATTTTTTAACTATTGTCAGGAGAGACTGACAATAGTTTATGTGTTTACCATGAACGTGCAGACATAGAGACACTCTCAAAAGTAACTCATTTCACTCACAAGACTTCTCAGCATTGTAGTCTTTGTTCCCAGTAATTTATTGCTGTAGCAACTAATAGGTCTGTCATCGTTGCCTTAGTCTCTCTATGTGTCAAAAGTGACACCTCACAACATTTTTGGTGACACCCTAGCTTTCATTGATACCCAGCGACAACTTTTCTTGAAAGCTCGCCCCATTCTTCGATGATTTTTGGAGTTTATGGAGGTTGCATGAGAATGGAGTGTGTTATTGCGGAGCCTCAGAAGTTACCAGAGAGGTCCTTACATTTACAGTGCCTCTGCTGTGAGTAGTCCAGCAAGCAAAGTTAGCAAGGCAGCAACCAAGGCAAGAAATCCAGTAAGCAAAGTTAGCAAGGCAGCAACCAAGGCAAGCAGTCCAGCGAAGCAGGCAAACTGGGCAAGGCACACAAGACAAAGCACAGCAAAATCCAGACATCGACAACTGCACATGAGGCTCCATGAATTCAATGTCTGTTTCCGACAAATGCCCCTCCCAACACCATCTCTTTAAATCTCATTCCCCAGGTGTGAAGAGGGGCAGGTTGCCCACCTCCCGAGTCATGGGTTGCCCTGCACTGATCCCGCCTCCTCTTCATTCTTCATGCTCGGGGATTGGGGGGAAAGATAATTGTTCATTGTGGGAGCTCTGTCACTCCTCTGCTCCACTGCCTGCCCTGTCCTCCCCCCTCACCTGGTCCTCCTGCGCCCCCTCTCCCTCACTGGTGACCCTTCCCAGGCACGAGGGACCCAGGACTGCCTCATCCTGCTCCTTCAGTCATTCCTCCATTGGCCCTAACTCTGTCTCGTCCTCCTCTCTCAGGCTCCAACAGGGCCATGACAGAAGTGTTCCTCAGCCAAACAATATTGGGATCAGGTAACATTTGTCCTACAGTGAACCAACACAATCATATTGGTAATAAAAATAAAAGTGGGTTAGCTATAACATCCAATAACATCTGGTTCTTTAAGTCACTTTTCTGTCCTACTTCACAGAGTTCTGTTATGATCCTAGAAATAGAATTTTATCCAATGGGAGGATTCAAGAAAAAGTGTTCAAACTTAAAATAGGAAGAATTATCACTGTATGACTCTCATCAAGTAATCCCATAATCTTTATTAGGGCAATGTCATAATGAAACAACTCAAAATCACAAAATAGCGGGCAAACTTTTGAAATTATTACTGTGTGAAATGATAAACATAGCTTATCATTTACAACATAGCATATCAACCACCAAATGATGGTTGACGGTTGCACTGATAATTGTCTAGTTGTATTAGCAGCTTTCAGAAATATCACTAATTATCATAAGGTGTGACTTTATTCATATTATCCTTTTCTGAAACTTAGAACTGAGAATTTGCAGATAGTTTAAATGTTCTCAGAAAATTTCAGAAGTTCAACCTACTGCAGTCCAAGAAGAGAAAAGCAGCTTTGGGAGGTTTAAAAAAGGGCATACATCAATATGATATAATAGATTAAGACAACAAGGGCATGTTCATCTTTAGCGGAACCTGCCTATCTTACTTCATATTCTATTTAAATGGTCATTTGACATAACATTGAAAATACAAACAATTAATAAATATGCCTGTAATAGATCAAGCACTGTTCATGCTATGTTGTAAGCATGGGTAAAATAGTTATTTAAATATACAGGTATTATGTTCCTGGATCTTGACCCTAAAGATATCCAATGCAATAATTTTAGCTGTTCATTCACACAATTATTTTTTATTTCTAAAAAGTACACCCACACTTTTGAATTGTGGTATGCCTAGAATATTCAGGGAGAGAAAAGCATGTAATTCCATCAACATTTTCAATTTCCAAAAAAAACCTATTCTTGCCTTCCTGATTTCCAATATATGTTGTATTGTAATAAAATAAGTTGTATCATCTTTCCTCTGTTCCATTTATCGCCAAATCGCAGAATTACACCATGCATGTAATATGCAGTTATTAGAGGAAAGTCCAAAGTGAATGAATGAGGGTGACAAGATGTCCAGCTACAGAGAATAGAACAGAACTTTCTAATTGCCCAAAATATATTTTCTTTTTATGATTTGCTCACCACTAAAACCAGGGAACTTACGCTGGTTTAATTGCTTGAAAAAACTACTTATGTTCCTCATCCCAAAGCCCAAACGTAAATGCTTTCAGCATTTCAAAGGTGACTGGTTATGACACCATCAAATTTTATGTTAGCAACTGCATCCTTAAATAAGTG